AAGGATTTAACTTTAATTTCATGGATATTACACCAATTTCACTTTCCCCCAAATTGCCACAAAACCTAGGGTTTGATCCAAAAGAGGGTTTTTCCTTCATTTTCAAAATAACTACAAGCATGCATGCTCAAATGGTCTATAGTTCACAAAATAATTTATCTTGGGCAAAATCATGAGAGAGAAATCATTTCTCTAACATTTTTCTAGGTTCAATATTTTAAAACCCAAAGCCAAACTAGAAATTGTAGTAAAATGAACAAGATATACTAAAATCATCTATATAACTCAAAGAAAATCCTTATCTCAACACTTTGAGAGGAAAAAAATTGAAAAACTCCGAAATCAATGGCGTTAAAATTCGATTTCCTCCGTACACAACATAGCCCTTGACAAGCTCTCCAGAATTAAGGAAGACACTAAGGTCAAAATTTCATTGGATAATGAGAGATCAAGGAGTAAATGAAGCGGGTGGAGGGTTTTTAGAAAGATGAGAGAAAAGAGAGTGAGAGTTAAAGTAGAGAGAGAATGGGAAATGAAAAGTGATAAAAAAGTGTGTAAGGCTCAACTTTTGAAGTGATTTGACACTATTTTCGAAGCAGATTGCGGATAGACCGCTCGAGCGACCAAACCTGCACTCGAGCAAAAAAATACCCACTCCCAGAGAATCTCCACTCCCCTTTGTAAAAGACTACTCGAGTGATGAAAACTTCGCTCGAGTGAATAACAGTTGCTCCTAGAAGTTCAGACTACAAAACAAGAAAATGGAAGGTCGATTTCACCGCTCGAGCGACCAAAGGACCGCTTAAGCAGTCTCAACCTGAAGGTGAGACAAAGTAACTTCAAAACATTTTCCAACCTTCCTGGTTTCTTTTCAACACCCAAAAGTACATGATGATATCTCGGAACACACTAAGATGTACCTATTGGAACAACCACAAGGAGAAATGGATAACAACACCAGACTCAAATGGTTCAACAATGATGAAGGCTACACAAAGGAATAGAAATTATCAATTAATGCACTTAATTTGCTTTAAAGGATTTAGGACATCACAACCTCCCAACGTTAAGAAATTTCATCCCCGAAATTAAATCAATCTTTTCTACAAAAACAAGTTTCTACTTAAATCAATCTTTCTACTTAAATCAATCTTTCTACAAAAACAAGTTCATACCCAATAATCCCATATTGCGAGATTTATGCCAAATATTAACAATATGATCATTTAATACATTTGCAACAACATGGTAATTTCATTAACTTCGATGATTTTTATAAAATCTTTGTTTTTCATAATCACATGGAGTTTGACAACTAGTAATTAGCAATAAAATGCTCAATTTCCACAACAACATCTAAGTACACAATGATTTCAAATCAACTAAGTATTATTAAACAAATCCGGGTATTTGGAGCGGACTTCTGCTTCCCGTTCTCAAGTTGCCTCCTCAACACCATGATGTCTCGATAACACCTTCATCAAGGGTATGGTCTTGCCCCTTAACACTTGTTCTCAGGTATCTAATATTTAGACCGGCCGTTCTATATAAGCATCCTCATCTACCTCTAAATCAACTCAATCAAGTACATGAGAAGGGTCGGGTTCATACTTTCTAAGCATGGATACATGAAACATATTGTGAACCCTCGAAAGTAGTGGCAGTAAGGCTAACCAGTATGCCACAACCCCAATTCGCTCCAAGATCTTGAAAGAATGAACCTTGGAGACAATTTACCACTATTACCAAATCTCATCAAACCCTACCTTGGTGAGATTTTAAGGAACACGTGGTCACCAACTTCGAAAGATAAAGGTCGTCTCCTTTTATCAGCATAACTTTTCTGTCGGTTTTGAGCCATAGCCAACCTCTTCTGAATGAGAGCAACTTTCTCGGTTGTCTCTCTAATAATCTCCGGACCCAACAATAGTGCATCACCCACCTCGGCCCATCAAACCGGCGATTTACAAGGTTAGCCATACAAGGCCTTAAACGGTGCCATCTCAATACTAGCTTGATAACTATTGTCATAGGCAAAATCAATCAAGAGTAAGTGTCTCTCCCAAGACCCTTTGAAATCAAGGACGCAAGCTCTAAGCATGTTCTCCAAAATCTGAATGGTACACTCCGACTGCCCATCAGTTTGAGGGTGGTAAGCAGTGCTAAAGGTCAACTTAGTTCCCAACGCCTCTTCAAGGCTTTGCCACAATTAGGCAGTAAAATGAAGATCTCTATCCGATATAATGGTTACAGGGACCCCATGAAGTCGAACTATCTCTCTAATGTAAAACTCTACCACATACTCAACTAAGTCACCGGTGCGTATCAGAATAAAATGTGTAGACTTAGTCAACCTATCAACAATCACCCAAACGGAATCATTGCCACGCTGTGTTCTAGGAAGCCCAACTACAAAATCCATGGTAACATGCTTCCATTTCCACTCGACTATCGGTAAGGGTTGGAGCAAACCCACTGGCCTTTGGTGTTCGACTTTCGTTTGTTGACAAGTAAGACATTTCGATACAAATAAAGAGATATCCCATTTCATACCCCTCCACCAAAATTGACGACTAAGATCATGATACATTTTGGTGCCCCCCGGATGTACCGCAAGGCGTAAGTGATGGCACTCTCGAAGTACCTCCTCTCTACAAGATTTCGGTATAAACAAACGGTCCAGATATCGTACACTTAGATCCGAGTAGATGTTCAAACCCTTCCCTTCCTTCCTGTTGGAAATTCTATCACGGATTGACTCTACCTCACGGTCCTGCTGCTGTGACTCTATGACCTTACTAATCAAGGTAGATTGAGAAATCATAGTAAATAAGGTAACACCCTCACTGGACTCACCCAAATGCAATTCAAACTTGCCAATATTGCCTAGCATAACCTATTCCTAAATGACCACACTTGCCAAACTACTCACAGATTTTTAACTCAAGGCATTGGCCACTACATTGGCCTTCCCCGAATGATAGTGTAATTCAAAATCATAATCCTCCATAAATTCTATCCACCTTTGTTGGCGTAAATTCAAGTCTTTTTGGGAAAACAAATACTTTAGGCTCTTATGATCGGAAAAAATCTCAAACTTTTCACCATACAAATAATGTCTCCAAATTTTCAAGGCAAAAATTACTGCCACTAATTCTAAATCATGGGTGGGGTAGTTTTTCTCATGAGTTTTCAATTGTCATGAACCATAGGCCACAACCTTCCCGTCTTGCATCAAGGCACAACCAAGCCCATCCCAGAATGCATCACAATAGACGGTATAACCCATACCCCTTTCCAAAATTATCAAAACCGGTGCAGTGGTCAATTTAGCCTTAAGTTTTTGGAATGACTTTTCACAAGCTTCACTCCACACAAATTTGACACATTTCCTTGTCAACCTAGTCAAAGGTGAGGCTAGTCTAGAGAAGTCTCTTACAAAACAATGATAATACCCGACCAATCCCAAGAAACTCTGGATCTCAAAAATATTTTTAGGTTGTTCCCAATCCTGCACGGCATCTATCTTGGAAAAGTGTACAGTTACTTATTCTCTTGACACCACATGCCCCAAAAACTTCACCTCGGTCAACCAACACTCACATTTCTCAAATTTGGCATACAATTGGTGCTCCCTAAGCAAATCAAGCACCAACCACAAGTGGTCTCATGTTCCTTCTCGGAGGCTGAATAAATCAAGATGTCATCCATAAAAATGACCACGAAGCGGTCTAAGAATTCTCGAAAAATTTGGTTCATCAAATCCATAAAGGAAGCGAGTGCATTGGTTAAATGGAAAGGCATTATAAGAAATTCATAGTGGCCATAAAGCGTACGAAAGGTCGTTTTCTGGATGTCCTCCTCCCGGACTCTCAACTGATGGTATCCTGACCTCAAATCTATCTTTGAGAAGTAGCGAAACCCTCAAAGTTGGTCAAATAAATCATCTATTCTAGGTTGCGAATATTTGTTCTTAACGGTAACTCGATTCAACTTGCAGTAATCAAGACATAACTGCAACGACCTATCCTTCTTTTTTGCAAATAGAGCCGACGCTCCCTAAGTTGATGTACTAGGGTGAATGAAGCCCTTATCTAAAAGTTCTTGGAGTTGAATCTTCAACTCAAGCAATTCGGCAGGTGCTAATCTTTACGGTGCCATGGAAATCGGTGTCGTGCCAGGCACTAAGTCAATGGAGAACTCGATCTCCCAGTGGGGTGGCAAACTAGTAAGATCCTCGGGAAAGACATCCGGGTATTCAGAAACTACCCTTGGTAATTCAACATGAGCCTCGTCACTCTCACTATCCAAGAGAGTCGCAAGAAGACCACTAAGCTCGCTCCTACTACGAGGGTCAAAAACTAGTGACAAGACCCTATTAACTCGGTCCCCTAAAAAATAAAAACAGTCACCACTTGAGGTGCACATTGTGACTCTCTGACGATAACAATCAATCATAGCACGGTATGAAGATAACCACTCCATGCCTAAAATGACATCAAAACTTGACATGTCTAGCAACACAAAAGCAAACAGAAGTCGGCCCCCGGCAACCTCTATCTCACAACTACGACATCCTCGGTCTAAATAAACTGTATCCCCAATTGGTGACTCTACCCTGAGCGGAGACGCTAACCATGCCACTTCTAACCCCAATGCAGAAGCAAATGAGTAGATATAAATAAATGTGATGCACTCGTATCTATTAATACATTAGCCAAGAAATTACACACAATGAAAATACCTTTCATACTTGAGGAATCTGGTAACTGCTCTGGCACAGTAACAGCGTACACGCACTCTTGTGGCCTCTAATCAACCTGCTCATCTCTTAGAGTATAGGCCTACTGCACTGACTGAGCTGAAGTGGCTCCCTGATTAGCTTATGAAATCTGAACTGAGTGAGCCTACTGGTGGCTCTAAGTCTGCCTCGAACCTGATACGCCAGATGCGCCTCCCAATTGAGGGCAAGCTCTTCTCATATGCCCTGACTGACCACACTAAAAATAAGTAAGTCCTTGGCCTCTATTCTGAAATTGACTCTGAGATCGGTTAGGTGGTGGTGGTGGTAACATCTGCTGCCCTCCTTCGTTTTGTGGACATGAAAAGGCCTTGTGACCCGGTTGGCCACACTTGAAACACGAGAAATTACCCGATGCATTCTTCCCCGGGCCCGCACTAGGCAAGGGAAAAGTAGATCTAGACTGCTGTGGTTGGGACTGGGACGAAAAGGTGCCCCTGTTCTTCTTACTGGGTCTAAAATCTCCCTGTGGCTCCTGGCCCCTAGACCTCGAACCCTGAAGTCTCTCCTGCTCGGCCTGCATAGTAATCTCTATATGTGCCACCGCCTCCACAAGACAGTCGTAGTTTTGAATCATATTTCTGGCAACTTTGAACAAAATTTTAGTTCTCAACCTCTTCTCATATTCTATCCAATGGTGCTCTTGCGTTGCCACCAACTCCGGCGTAAACTGGGACAAACTAGTTAAGGCTGCCTCAAACTCGGCCACAGATAGGTTAAGTTGCTTGAGGTCTTGAAACTCTTGCCTCAATCTCTCTCTAGCAGTGGGAGGTAGATACTTGTCTTGGAAAACAACCATAAAGGCTTTCCATGTTGGCTCTACTCTACCTTGGCGTACTTCCACCATTGGCCCACATTCCCCTTGAGGTAGTAACTCGCTAGAGTCACTCTTAACTCGTTATCATCGATGTGAAGCATCTCAAATGTCTTCGCCGCTTGCTCGAGCCACTCATCCACTTTCTTGGGCTCGGGGCCACCATGGAACTTATCTGGTTTGGCCTGTAAAAACTTTATAGTAAGAAAACTCACCCTTGTCTCTACAGCGTTTTCTCGGGCTTGGTTCTCCGCCCTCAACAATTCATCGATTCCCTCAAAGCCCATGCCATTTCTTGGGCTAAAGCCCCCATTGCGGCTTGACCCGCCTGCTCCAGAACCCCCGTTTGCCCTACTTGCTCAGCTATATTAACTTGGCCAGCTTGCTCGGCTGCATTAGCTTGGCCAAACCCTTCCTCTTGTACTGGAACCTCATGGACCAACACTTTATGTACACCTCAACGAGGCCTACCGCGTCTCCCGCCTCTACCACCACGGGCTTGACCTCTTCCTGACATCCTAATTAAGGAATAAAGTAAACAATTTAGCACACAAACTTAACAATTTTATATATATACTTCTCCACCATATAAACAAGTTAGTTTCACTCCACATAAGCACTTAGTCACGTAAACACATACTGGTTATTCCTTTATGATGAAATTTGCCCCACGAAACACCAAGAATTATTAGTAGAACGAGTATTGATCAAGTACCCTTCTAATAAGACCTCAAGAAATTTAATAGGCGCGAATCATAACCCAAAAGCCCAACCCCATACCCATCTAGTCATATAACCATTTTATCACATAGCCACAAAATATACAACATCTCTTAATCATGCGAAATGAACCCATTGTGGCAAAACAACCACTTCCCACGAGCCCTAAGTATTCAAACCAGGTAGCTTTGATACCAAGTTGTAACGCCCCAAGAAAATATGCCTAATAAATACGTCCACCACTGCTCCCTATGATAAATAAAAGTGAATCTCCAACACTGAAATACATAATCATATGAGATTTACAAAATAGTTCTACATGCAATAATACATTCAATGACTTTAGTGAATGAATCTATAACATGTAAAACATCCAGTCAAAATAAATAAATTCCCCCAAGGGGCTACAAAGTCCAAGGCTTAAGCCCAGTTACACAAAATGGTTGCTCGAACCCATACAAATATAGCCCTTGGCTTTAAAAAAATATGATCACAACAAAACTAGAGCCTTGTGCTCTCAACATACACATCCACACCCTTAGTTTGGCGGAATCACTACATCTTTTCCTGCACAAAATCCCATAGGACAAGCATAAAGCCCAGTAGGAAATTCTTAACAAAGTATATATATTTTATACAATTCTCACACGGTGAAATGCATATGCATATGCCATGCCATGCTTTTAACAGAAAGTCACGTTATCATATTTTTTTTTTTTGAAAGCCATCATGCTCAATGAAAACTTGAAGATCTAACAATTTAATAATTTTAGATAAAGTTCAAGGGGCGGTAAATACGACTCAGGTAATTCATGGGTTAGTGTATTCAAGTAGGCATAACTAGCACTACTAAAACCCCCACTTTACCGATAGCTTACCGAAAGGCACGTGGCACCTCATCCGCTTGTGTTTTCAGTCTTTCATCCTGGACACTCAGGCCAACTTAAACAATTTTCTCTACACCCCCTATCCGGACTTACCAACGTATTTACCCTAAAACACTTCTATGGAATTTCATTTCACAAACATTTCACTTTTAAATGCAAAATTTTCAATTCTCAATTCAAAACTCGTAATAACCAAATGAATTGAAGTGTTAATGCAACATATAACAATACACAGTAATATCCTTCCATTTTCAATTCTTCCATACAATTTTTCCCATTTTGGTCACCATTCCCATTTCTCTTTCTAAAGAAATTTCACAAGATAATCATATATACTCATCAATCACTATCGAGGAGCAACAACATTCCACATTTCATTCATTTTCATCAACTTTATCGTTTCATGACTATATCAACATTTAGAGCAACAAACTTCCCACTAATTCTCATGTCAACATTTGTCATAATATTGATCAAAAATCAATTTCATAACATCACCACATTTTCTTAAAATTTTACAAATTTCTAGGGTTTCCATAAACTAGGTTTTCCTCCTCATTTTGAAAGAATTATTTCAAGCTAACACTTCTCTACAATAATATAACTCACAATCTCAAGGATTTTTAGAAAAACATTATGGAAATCCACCCTTAAAATCATTCACAACACATGAGCCAACATCAAAGTTTCCAAACTTCCCAAAAAGTTCCAAATCAACATAATCTGGCAAATATATATATATATATATATATATATAACTCTAAGAAAATCTCTACCTCAAGTTTGAAGAAGAAATGAGATGAAACCCTCCAAAATCAATAGTGTTGAAACTTGATCTCCACCGCACAAAATTTAGCTCTTAAAAAATAACCGGAATAAGAACTCACAATGTTTTCAAAAATTGATATCATGGTTAGTAGAGGCCGGTCTATGACCGGGCGAGCGGGGGTGCTCACGAAGTGACCTTCCCCAATCGTACCCAAGTTCCCGAGCCGAGGCAACTTTGGTGATGACGGACACGTGGCCTTTTGGCACCGAGTCAGGGTTTCCTAAATTTCCCAAAATAAAATATTTAGGTGGCGACTCTGTATCTGGCAAAGCAGTCCATGTTTGGCACTTCTTTCAAAAAATCTGTTTTTCTCAAAAACGATTTGCCGGATTTGGACTCTTTGGTTCAGACTTAGAACCGTGACTACGAAAGTCGAGTCCGAACTGTAGCGAGGTCCCCCGCGGGCTTGTTACACTCAAGTGTGAAGAAGAAATGAGATGAAACCCTCCAAAACCAATAGTGTTGAAACTTGATCTCCACCGCACAAATTGTAGCTCTTAAGAAGTTCTCTAACTTTAATCAAGGAACTATGGTCAAAATGTTAATGGATTTGGAGAAATCAATGATTTTGTGAGGTTTGGTGTAGGAAAAGTAGAGAGAAGGAGGAGAAATGTGTGTTTAGAGAGAGAGAGAGAGAGAGAGAGGGGGATGATAAAAAAGTGATATACACTCAGCCCAAGAAGAAGGAAAAAACAAAATTTTCAGACTGGCTTTATTTTGTAAGTGCGGTACCCCCATCCGCACATGCGTCTCTCGTCGCCGTACATGCGGCACTCTCTCTCTCACCTCCTGCCGCACGTGTATATAATGTAGTAGCCAACCCAGAATTTCCCTTCCTCACCACACGTGAGGCCTAACTTCCCGCACGTACGGCCCCTCTTTCACACGTGCGACCCAAGCCCCCGCACATGCCGCCCTGCCTCCTAGTTAGAGATTTTACTAGCTACACTGAAAAAAACCCAGATCCAACCTCATGCCTCCCAAAACATGTGAAACTTGACACCATAATAAATAAGAACAAGGATTTTGAGAAAGGTTTCCAAATGCAACAAACCCAAACAGTTAACAAGACTTCAAGTTAAACTCGACACTCTAACAAAGGTAAACCCAACATAAATAAAAAAGGAACGAGGCGGTTACACGCACCCGGTCATCACATTCTGTTGATCTGTTTTTGTGTGATTTGGTTTGGCTTTTGTTGATCTATTTTGGTTTGGTTTAATATGTTTTTTCTTTCTAATTTTTCCAACAGAATGTGTCAAATGAATGATTTCTCTATATCTCAACAGATAGGTGTTTGATAGAAAAATATCTCTATATCTGTGTTATATTTTAGTGTTTGTTGGTAGAGAATTTTCTTTGTTGTTGTTGGATGAATAGAACAAACAAATTCCATTTTTGGTAGATAGGAATAAAATTTGAATTGAAAAGATAAAACGAATTGAAAAGATAAAACAAATTGAACAGATAGGTCAAAAATGTTTAAAAATGAAATTAGATAGGTCAAAATAGGTTTAAAAATTAAATAGATAGGTCAAAATAGGTTCAAAAAAATTAAGCGGACATATATTTGAATAGATAAATAAAAAAAATTGAACAAATTATAAAATTTGGATAAATATTTGAACAAATAAGGAAAAAATTGAACAGATAGTCAAAAAAATTGAATAGATAGGAAATAATTTGAACAGATAGGGAAAAAATTAAATAGATGTGAAAAAAAAATTGGACAGATAGTCAACAAAATTTAATACATAAAAAAGTCAACAAATAAAAGGGTAAAATTGAAAACAAAATGTCCTTCAAAACAAACAAAAGAACTTCTTACAAAACTATTTTATAAAAGGTGGACATCTCACCAACAAAAAATATCTACTAGACCTAATGCCTTATACATTTCTTAGGTTGGATTTTTCAACAATTTTCTCAATTTTGTATTATAATTTTTTATTTTCTAAAAATTAATTTTGAAATTTAATGAAAAAAATTTTCAATTAAAATTGAATTTGGGTCAAATTAGCCCCATATGAGCCAAGCTTGCCCAGAGACCTGTTAGCCCATGTTTTTAAGCACATGAGTAGGTTCTGGGTCTTAAAAATATAAGATGGGCCGATCTGAACCCAATTTATTATTGACTAGTCAAAATTTATGGACATGGACTTTGTTAATCTATTCAACTCAAAATCAATTGAATGTGAGTAAAGAGAGGCCCTTATCACGCTAATGTTATATCGTTAGTTATTTGCCTGAATAACACCAATCGGACCCACATAAATTGAAATTAAAACCTTGGAAGATTAATAAATAAACGAAATTGATAATTTAAGTACGAAATAAATAAGATTGTGATAAAATTATAATTAACTCAGAAATAAAAAGAAGGGAAGTGTTTGCTACTTACCATTTTGAACACAAAATTAATGACCACAAAATAAAAATATTAGCTATGTTTTTTTTAAAATCTTATTTAAAGAAATGTCAACATAAATTGTTGAAAAATCCATCCATGTGGGGTTACATATTATTTAGTTCAAAGTTTAATATTTTTT